TGCAAATGAGAACACAAAAACAATCTGCTGTAGTTCTTGATCCGGGCATAAGAAAGTATCAGTTTGGATGGTTTAAGTGTAGTCTGTACTTCTGGTTTATTTCAGAATTGCTTGTGGTAACATTCTTTTCAAAAGCAATTCTGTGCGGTGAGACAGTTTTAGCATTTCAAGCAGGCAAGTTCAAAGAGTTTCTTTGGTTTTAAGGCAAAATAGGCCGTTTTAGGTTCGGTTATTGTTTTATTGTGGAACCCCCTTTGAAAATGGGACTCAACAAATCTTCAAGCCTCCAACCCATAAGCGTCCTTCATTATCTCTTTCTCGCTCTGTTGTTTGTGTTTTGGAGTGTGCATAGATGAACCAGAGAACCCTGATGTATTCACATGAATCTCTCCTCATCTTCTACTGGTCAGGAAGGGGTGAAGCGGTTCCGCAAATCTGGAAAACATTAAACCTAATTTTAACAAAAAGTACTAACCTAAGTTTTCTAAAAAAAAGAAAAGATGAAATGTAACAAAACATTTTGATTAAAATGTTTATTCTGGGTTGTTAAATCCAACCTGGGATGGCATAATTGCAATGAAGATCAGTTAACTGCAGCAAAATGCATTAATTTCATCCCATGTTGAACCGTCGTGTTATGTTTGTGGGTCAAAACAGAGGCGGGACAAGCTTCCCTTTATATATTGACTGACCTATGCGTTTTTAGTTTCATAAACACAATGTAACAGTTTTGTTGTTATACAACATGTGCAACAACTCACTGTTGTGTTTGAATTGGATTCATCCAAATACATTTACCCAATTCCAATCAGCAAATCGATATGGACCAACGCACTCAGCAATGCAAAACACCTTATGGTGTATTGCTTCGTTGTATATAGTGAATACTGTGGGTGTGATTTTGGATCTGTGATTGATTGAGTTGTGGAAAATAGAGTGTAGAAAACCGTGTTCATGTGTTTATTTGAGTTGGTATTTGTGTGGTTGGTGAGAGGGTGTTTGTCTCTGAACAGAGTGATGGAAAGGTTCGGTTGTGTGTGTGTGTTATATAGTATAGCAGAGTTGCAAATACACAGTGTGGGAAGTAATCATGTGGGCATCAAAAAAAATACGATTGTCATGATCCTATTTACCCAGTTTCAAGCCCCCTTTTATTTCCATCTGCCCATCAGAGTCCTAGAAGAAAACTGCATTTGGGACTCATATCCTCATGTTAACTATAGAATTAAGATAGTCAAAATGACAAAGCCGGTTGGTTGGTCGGCTGTCAGTTGATTTTTTCTCTAGTCCGACCCCTGGTGGCGTTTATACCGCGCTTCAAGTGGTGTGTTTCGTGCAGAAAATATCTCCAAACAAAAACAGTTTCAACGAGGTCTTACATTCCTGGCAAGCAAACTTTGGCAAAAAAACTCACCGTTTGGGACAAAAGGAGTTTCGGCCTTTCAAGGGGAGCACCGGGCGGCGGCCTCAGGAGAGCAACGGGACGGGCTGTTGTCAGAAGGCAGAGGGGGTCGTGCCCGCAACTCCTTTAAGTTTTTGTCGGATTCCCCGGGCTCCTGGTCAGGTGTCGAAGTACTTGGCAAGAGTTACTGACCCCAAAAAATTTTGCTGTCCTGATGCGCATAGCATTCGGTTGTGTGAATGTGGTATGAATTGAGTTAGTTTCTGTTCCGATGGACTTTGCCATCACGCTGGTTTTGAAATGTGGTTTGTTGAAGAGGTGATGTTGGGCACGCTACGGTGTAAAAAAAGCTTTGGATGGTCGGGAAAAGGGACTGAAACAGTCGCGTATGCACAAAGTGGTACAGGTCCATTTACCATAATTTTTCTGGCTTTATATTATTCAAGTCAAGTCATATTCAAGTCAAGTGATTAATAGCAACATTTTAAAGCTACAGTGAGCAATTTATTTCTGCATACTTACACAGATGAGTCAATTCTGAAGACATTTTCGGCCTCCTTAGATAGATCCTTAAATTCATACAGATACAAAGCTATATACATGCACCTACACATTAGAGATAAATTATTTCTTTAAGTTGAGTGGCAACAACATTTAGTTTGAAGATGGTTGGTACCCAGCCAGTCTCTGGTCCAGTCTTGGCTACGAAGTGAGCTCATGAAGACCACGCCAGAAAATTCAAAATTAGACTTAAAATTAAGTTTAGTTTTCATGCACTGAAAGTAAAATGTTATGAGATGACGATTTACACCTTAATTATTATTTAAAGATGCACCTACATCGGGCAGTCTGCTGTGTCAAACATCAGTCGTGGATTCACTGAACGAAGATAAAATATGACTGAACTGTTTCTTTAACATGCCATGTACATTAAAAGACATTGTTTTTTTTATAATAAAGACACACAGCAATGTATAATGTATCCTCTTGAATTAATCAAGTAATGCCTTGTATTAGCATAACTCTGAAGATACTAGAAATATGTGTTTATCGGTGCCTAAGAGGACTTTGTAGTGGCTGCAGTTAATTTCTAGCTCACATGTGATAAGGATATAAAACAAAGAAATGTTCCAATCTCTGAGTAACAGTTCTGGCTTCACTAAATGACTAAGACCTTTTTAAATATTTAGTAAACTGATAAAAATCATTAATGTTTTTCATTTACCTTCAGGTTGTATCATGGCGGCTTCCATGCAGTTGTCTGAAAGTAAGAAATCCTTTGAACTTCATTCAAAAATAAGTTGGTTGGTCAGAACCAAACTGCATTAACAAAATGTACTTTTATGTAATTAAACTCAAGAATGTCAATAAAATGTTGTAACGCAGTCTGTAGCGTCACTGATTGAACGGACTGTGTAAATGCAGCTGAACATATGTTACTCGTGTGGGGACACTGTTGCATTATGGGGACCAATTGCATGGACGTGGTGGCATTGCGGGGACACAGTCACATTGTGGGGGACGTGGTCGCATTGCTGGGACAAAGTGACATTGCGGGGACGCAGTCACATTGGGGGAACACAGTCACATTGCAGGGACACAGCCACATTGCGGGGATACATTCACATTGCGGTGACACAGTCACACTTGATGTTCTCTTGTAATGTAAACATTTTTTTCTTGCACAGTTGGGTACTGAGTAATTGTTTGATTATCCTCTGACCTATAGTAATATTAGATTGGGTGTATAACGGAGGACATTTTATAATTTTTATTTACTAACGACAATAATACCAAATACTTTGTACAAAATGCTGAACATATGTTACTTGTGTGGGGACACGGTTGCATTGTAGGGACCCATTGTGGGGACGTGGTGGCATTGCGGGGACACAGTCACATTGGGGCGACACAGTCGCATTGCATTATTTTT